TCGCAGTGCCGCCGCTCGCGTTCGCGTTAACATGGGACTTATGGATCCCACAACTCGGCCGTCTTGATCGGATGTCAGTCCCTGATATCCATCGGTACTCGCACTCATGTCTATCTCGGCATCAACATCAGACATATCCTCGCTGTCGCTTATACTAGAGTTAGTCGAAATCCATCGCTTTATATTATCTGCTGCAGAGGTAGTAGAGGATGGTCCTTCATGTTCTCCTAACTTTTCTACAACATAACGATCTGCTCCTTTTGTGGATACAATTTTATATGGACCCAGATATTTAGCAAGTAGTTTACTTCCTGGCGCAAATTGAGTGCGTTTTATCGCAACAAGATCACCTATCTTATAGATATTTGATTTTTTCCGCTTTCGATTGTAGGTACGACTGTTTTCCTTTTGGACTTTATTTATAGCCTCGCTGGCTTGCGCACGCATTTCATCTCGCTCTTGTTGTAATGATCTGATAACCTCAGAGTCAATTAATTCCTTAATTTTTAAATCGTTTTTTAGGCGCATTGTTTTTCCTACTAATAATTCGAATGGTGAAAAACCGGTATCTGAACCTGCTCTACATACTTATACCAGTTTTCGTACTTCGGTGCGGCTAATTTAGAAAGAATGGGTATGACAATGCGGTTTATTCGTTCTACTTGTCCATTCCCACGCGGTACGCCTGCAGTACACAATACATGTTGAATATTTTCTTCGTTACAATATTGTTCAAATTTACGCGATGTAAACGCTGTACCTCTGTCAGTTATCACTTGTCGCGGATTTCCGAATATAACTGCTTGTTTAACTAGTTTGGCAATGGTTTCTTCAGACGTTGTCGACTTAGTTGGATAGAGCCAAGTAAACTTGGTAAAAGAATCTACTACAACTAACAGATGGGTGTAATTTTTTTTTGTACTCGGAATCGGGCCTAAGTGATCTAAATGATAAATATCTAAAGGTGTGGTGCCCTTAGGGAGGCTGTGCAACCATCCTTCTTGCTTACCACCTTTTCGCTCAGCTATAATGCAAGATACGCAATTTCGTACAACTTTCTCAATTTTTTCTCTCATACGCGCGAACCAAAATTCCTTTTTGAGCAATTGTTCTACTTTCCTTACTGCAAAGTGACCTTTGTCATGTGTTAGTTTAATAATTTCATGTTGCATAGTCCGCGGTACCACCAACAACAAGTCGTCGTCGTGCTTTTTGTATAATATATTATTTTGAAATAAGTAATCGCTCTTAATATTATTCTCAATAATTTTGAATATTGGTTTTAAATCCTCGTCATCTAGCTGCGCTCTTGACAAACGGTTTATTAGACTTTCGCTATCTTCGCTAATTAACAATATGCTTGAGGGATTTCGACTGAGGGCGTCTACATGGCGCATTGCTTTACCCGGTCGGTGTATAATTGAATAGTCAAATTCCTCTAAGAGAAGTGCCCATCTTGCTACGCGTACACACAGATTTTTCTTATTCATGGTCAGTGAGAATGCTTTACAGTCAGTTACTATTTTAAACGTATTCCCGATCAAATATATTCGAAATTTATGCAATGCTTTAACGATAGCTAAAACTTCTAATTCGTAGCTCATGTATCTGGATTCGGCTTCCGTGGTTTTCCAGCTGGCATAATATACAGGGTGGAAAAGATTGTCTTGACTGCTTCTTTGCAGCAATATAGCACCGAAACCTTGACTAGATGCATCTGTATGCAATTCAGTTTCTGCATTGACACGATAAAGTTGTAATACTGGCTTTAGACATAACTTAGTTTTTAACTGCTGAAAAGCATCTTCCTGCTCTTTAGTAAAATGAAATTTTACCCCGTCTTTAAGCAAATTCGAAAGTGGACGTGCAATAATCGAATAATTTGGGATAAATTTACGGAAGTAGCCTGTGAGACCCAAAAAGCTTTGTACCTGTTTGACACATGTAGGTTTAGGAAAATTTATGACAGACAAAGTTTTACGTTCAGATGGCCTAAAACATTCGTTTTCAATTATATATCCGAGATACTCTATTCGTTGTTGTAAGAAACTACACTTATTCCAGTTTATAAGCAATTCGTAATCGCTTGCCGTCTCTAACACTAAACGTAGATTATCCAATCCTTCTCTTTCGGTGCGCGAAGGAATTATAAGATCGTCTAGGTAGGTTAATACAATACCTTTAGTACTTAAATCTCTAAAAATGGCGTTAATAAAGCGTTGAAAAACAGCAGGAGAGTTGCATAATCCAAATGGCGTTTTCAAAAATTCATACTGTCCGTCAGGTACTATAAAAGCAGTGAACTTACGACTTTTCTCCTCTACAGGGACATGGAAAAACCCGTCTTTTAAATCAAGAGTACTAAAAAAGGTGGAACCTTGCAATCGGTCAATTTGTTCTTCTATTACAGGCAGAGGGTAACGATCTTTAATAATTTTCCGATTCAACTTGCGATAATCTATGCACAAACGTATAGTCCCGTCCCGTTTCTTAACTATTACCACTGGACTTGCATATTCCGACGTGCTTGGCCTTATTATTCCTTCGCGTAACCATTTTTGTATTATATCGTTAACTTGGTCTCTCTCTATTGGGGCTAAACGCCGTGCACGCTCATACACAGGAATATCATCTTTTAATACTAAATTCAAGGTAACGGCCACCGCCTTAACGTTTCGCGGTTCATAGGAGGCTATTATTTGTTTTACCTCATCTCTTATCACAACATCTTTTATGTCGCTTACGCTTACATGGTCGGCTTGCCTCGCATCGTCATCGTCTACAAACTCCTGAGTGTTGATACAAAAAATTTCTGGTACATCGAGTGTTTCCGCCTGCGCATTTACATCATATTTTCGCTTGAAAATTCTGGCGCCTCGTTCATCTAAAGAGATATCCGCTACTTTTAACAAGCCTGATCCCAGTAATAAATCGTGTGCCAAATAAATATCTGAAACAACATGTATTAAAATTTCGAACTTATTTTCATCTATTTCTACATTGGCTATGAAGCTGCCAATAGTGGACACGCTATTCGCACCCAAACCTTTACACACAATTTCAGGTCCAGTGAGGGGTGGTGAACTTAACCTAATATATTGTTCTGCCCTCATAAGGTGTAAATCACTTCCCGTGTCGATAAGTGCTTTTACCCGCTTACCTTTTATACAAACATTTTTATAAATTTTACCATCCTGCTTTTGTACAACGCTACATTCGTTTATCTGCTTTGGGTGCTCCTTTTTGCCGCACTTCGCCGCTATGTGCCCGAACTCGCCGCATTGAAAACATTTCGTGCCTTTATCCTTAAACGGGCAATCCGCTCCTAGGTGGTTCTTCCCTCCGCAGTTATGACAGCGCCTTATACTGGTCTTCGTATCTTGACTGGATGTCCCCTTTGACGTCTCTTTGGCAGATTTAACAGCTTGTGTCTTCGACTTTTGGCTTACACTGTTCTTCATGGCCTCATACTGAGTTAATCTCTTGCGCAAATCCTTGATGTCCTTCGCACCGTACAAGACAGTTTTGTTAACGGGTTCATCTTGAATTCCATCGATAATGTATTGGATCTTTGCTTCTATCTCGATATCGCTATGACTTGCGATTTCCATCATTTTGTATACGTAATCGTGAAAAGACTCGTCACCCTTCTTCTTTGTGCGTGCTAGTTCTTTATGTACTTGCCGGCTATTCAGAGTTTTATCGAATTCGGAGATCAGCGCTCTCTCTAATTTCCTCCATGTTCCGCAACACTTCTCGTAAGTGACAAATAGTTTGGCTGATCCTCGCAACAGCTTTTTCGCATAAATAATTTTTTGTGCTTCTGACCACAAGCATACTTCGCTTGTCTCGTTGAAATCTTCCAGCCATTTGCGCACACTTTGTTTACCATCACCGCTGAATGTACGCAATGAATCCTCCACATCTTTGAAGGACAACGGTTGTTGCATCACCGCTTTTTTGGCGCGAGCACCTTCCCGCGCGACCACTTCCTCTTCCTCACTCTCACTATCCTCTCCCTCTTTATCGTCGTCGCTACTCTCATCCTTCTTATCCAGAAGTGACGCCGCTCTCAGACGCTGTACTAAAACAGATTTACTTCCCGAGACCTTCAAACGTTGATCTCTGCATCTTTCCTTCAACTCGTCGAGGGATAGCAAGGCTAACTCTTTCTCAGCTTCTTCCGACATCTTTTGCACGTGTTCTCACACGATCATCCAACATGGACGTCCACGGCCCCGTCGTTACTCGCTATATATATGCTCTCAGCTTACGCAAATACTCAGCCTCGCGTACTTATACAACTCACAAATATGCACTTGGTAACTGCCTCGCTCGCAACACCATCCGCGATCCCGGACGAGCCCCCAAAAATATGTAGGATCAATGGTGTTCAAACAAAACAGTTCACGTATTGTTCGGTAACGTGTTTAATGTGCATAAAAGAAATTAAGACAAAATGTATGGCCGATATGATATCGTGCACAAAGAAAAATTAATCTCGCAGACGACCCAAACAAGGATGTTCTTGTGTAACTCGCAACTCGCTATTCTCACAACTCGCTATTCTCACAACTCGCTATTCTCACAACTCGCTGTTCTTTCAACTCGCTATTCTCACAACTCGCTATTCTCACAACTCGCTGTTCTCTCAACTCGCTGTTCTCTCAACTCGCTGTTCTCTCAACTCGCTGTTCTCTCAACTCGCTGTTCTCTCAACTCGCCACGCACGCGCGCTTCTACCGGCCGAGTCCCCTTACGCCGTCGCAGCTCGCAGTGCCGCCGCTCGCGTTCGCGTTAACATGGGACTTATGGATCCCACATACATATACGTACATATGTTCATACGTATATGTATAATACATACGTTTATACGTTCATACATACGTTCATATGTATGTTTATACATATGGTACATACGTTTATACATACGTTCATACATATGTTCATACATATACATAATGTATGTAATATACTTATTAAATATATACTATACAAATTTATTTACATCGGTAATGTCCCCATGGCAGCGTATCGGTGGAACCTGGCACGATATATCGCTTATCATCGTGCGGACTTAAAGCGATTTTTGTTTCCGAAATCGTGTACACCTCATGCAATTTTGATCTAATGCATGATTGCCTGCTCAACATTTCGATTGCACCGTTCAAGCATCGAGTGTAATCCTCGAACATTATGGATCTTGCCACAACGTTGCTCTTGACACCCTTTGCCTTCTTCGTGTCCTTCTTTCCTTGTACACGCAAGGCATACATTTTCGCTCTAAGCCCGACGAATTCAGTCATGATGGCACCATTGTTCTCGTCTTTCATGAGACCAGGAACTTTTTTATTCGCGAGCGGAATACCGTATGCATTGTCGACCGCGTAATCGCTAGTGTCAAATTTGCTAATATCACGCTTCATAACAACGTAAACGTTGTCACACTCGATGTGGTAAATGAGACTGTCTGTGTCGGTGTACATAATTTTACATTTCTCACGATACAGCGGTAGCATATACTCGTGGTGAAATTCATACAAACACGTCTTAGATATATCGAGGATGCACATACCCACGTATATCGGTTTCGTATTTTCTCGAATCGAGCTTTCGTATTTCAGAAAAAACGCTTCTACTATGAAAGTTTGGTTTCGCGATCATTGCCTCTGCACCGTAT